ACCAAGACGGCCCGCAAATAGGGAAATCAGTGTTCGAAAAACAAAAGGCTACATGGTGTTTGTAATAAGCAACAGTGTCGCACTCTCAACATCTCTTTGCATTATGGTGGTTTTAGTGAGCATCATCCCTTTCAAAAGAAGATTATTACTACGGCTTCTGATGATTACTCATAAAGTAATGTGGGTTTCTCTGGCGTTCATGGCGACTGCTTTCACGTCGGCGACATGGCTAACCTTGCCACAGGATTACAAAACCAATTGGCTTCCTAATGTGATATTGGCAGTGGTAGGAGGGATTATGGGAACACTATTCATTTATTTGGGATTGGAATTAATAAAACACTGGATGAGGAAGCTGAAGTGGAGAAGAGAGAGAGCTAGAAAGAAGAGCGTCGTTGCTCCGGTGGGCAGCAATGACGAAGAAGAATCTACTGATGATCAATCTGGTGGAGTTTACGCGGATGTCGAACATATAAAAAGGTCTTGTTCAATTTCCTCTAATTCTGACGTGTGCAGCTCTCAAATGCTAGGCGGTCATCCATATTAAATTAAGATAAATTTCAATTTCAGGAAAATACTAAGGGGTTGCCCACTCAATATTATATTGTGCTGACTACTCTATTAAATTATTGATAAATTGATAGATGCAAAAAAGTAAATAAATAAGTAACAGGTAAAAATATTAATATAGCAATAAATAACATGTACAAATATTAAGTTAAGGTATCCATTCTATGATATCTCTCTCACCAACTTACTCTCTATTTTTTCGCCTTTAGTGGGCCTAGTATTTCCAACAACTGCAATGACTTCTTTTCTCTTCGTATTTTTAGAAAAAATATAAAGTAAATTCTTTAACCGTGGTCAATGTAAAATTATAATGAGTACCATATCAATAAGGGTATTAATATTCATGAATTTCATCTTTTGGACTCTGATACCATATTAATATTCATGGGTTACATCTCAAAATTAATTGACAATTAGCTCATGTTTATTATAAATGATCAATTTTCTCTTTTCAACGTGGATCCTTAACAACATACATACAAACATGATATACCTATATAAAGACGTTCCAGTTGAGACAAATGGTAACTAGAAAATAATTACAAAATATGTTAGATTTAGAAGAACAAACAGATGCATATATAGTAATGTCTCCCCAAAGAGAAACCCCAGAGATCTTTTGGTCTCCGAAAAAGTGTAGTCGTTGCATTGCAACCACAAATTCCACGATAGAGAGCCAAAGGTATTACTCCAAAGGATGTCACGTTGGCACTTTGGGGGTTTGGTAGATGCATTCTCGAATATAAAAGCACCAATGCAGTTGGGAATAGCAGTTTGAATTTGGAAAATACAAAAGAGATGAGACCCGAGAGCATTAGTGAAGGGGCAATGCAGGAACAGGTCTGATGACAAAAGACACACTAGTTTTTGGACTGGAGAGCGAAAGCAAACTTGAAGCCTGTCTGCAGTATTGAGGCCTCTGTGGAGAAGATACCAAAGAAAGAATTTACATTCTTTTTGGACTTGAAGAATTAGATTGGTTCGGGCCATATAAGAGGGTTTTCATTGCCTGAACCGAAAAAGCTCCATTTGGTGTATTGCCCCATATAATTCTATCCTTTATGGTGTATTTAATGGTTTATTTTGTACATTAATTAATACAACTTAATTTCGTGCCAGGCTTGTCTTTAGGTAGAAATTAATAAATTTTAGAAGATTTTTTACCATGCTTTCCGTTAAAAATTATTTGATGAATTAGATAAACCGAGCATAAGGTAAAGGTTACCACATTTATAAGTCTAAAATTCAATCCGGTGAAAGTGAAAGTTTAGAGCGAAAATTATACAGGGTTAAAGAGTAAAAGTTAATATTCTTTCCACAAATTAAGATTTAAACTTAAACTAAATTTTGAAGATGAGGACTAGATTAGGATCGATATATAAAGAATATTTCTTATTCTTTTCAAAATTTCATTCAATAGTGTCCTCGAAATTGGATAGATTTGAGTCTCTTTTACTAAAAAGTTGTCAAATCTCTTAGTCGTTATTTTGCCTATCAATAAAAATTTGACAAAACGAATTGACATATACCTCAAACCATGAAGTTGAGAGTTTGATCCCTCAACCCACATGTTCTAAAAAAAAATAAATAAATACATAAAAATTTGACAGTTTTTTAATTTTATAAAAATGGGTAAATAAACAAAAATATAAAAATATATATTTCTTCTTGTTTTTCTTATTAAAAATTTAATGAACATCTGAAATATTATTCATCTCCAAATCACGTTTTGACAAAAGGAACTTTCCTTGTCTCTATAGTAATTGGGCAGGGTGGATTTTGTTATTATTATTATTTATTTAGGTAGGGCCAAATTGTAAGTTTAATTCAAGGAGGGGCAAAATAGATATCTAATAGAACAGCAAATATTATATATTCCACTATTGCATATTGAATATTGAATATTTTTGGAAAATCAAACCTTGAAAACTTTTAAAATATCAGTAGTTTTTTTATAAGAAGAAGAACTTATAATGATGTAATTTAAAAAACTCCCAAATATTAGGTAGGACTAAAAAGAAATATTTAACCCAATTAAAACTAAATCACATGTCATGTGCATGCAAAATCATAATATATAGTACTTATATTCTGTACTTAGGGGATATAGGGGTAGACATTTTTTTTTTTTAGCAGAGAGAGGCACACCAGTTGATATTTAATTTATGACATCTTTTAATATATTGCATAAATGGGCCATCCCATTTACTGCTGCTTTTTTAGCTTTTCCTAACACATGACATGCACATATTCATGTGGGTCTCATATCATACCCATAAATTTTTTTATTAAATATTATTTTGATTTTTGCAATTTCACCACTTCCATCATTTTAGTCTCAATACTTTTAAAATGTTATTTTGGTCCCTACACTTTAAACTTTTACCTTTTCTGGTCGCATTAAGTTTAAATTTTGACATTTCTACTGATTTTAAATTGTATTGTCTCTTATTAATCTTTTATGGAGAAAATTGTTGCAATTTTAAGTTAATTCGATTAAATACTCTCATTTTTGTAATTAATCTCATGAGACAACAGTTTAATCCTGTAACATTTTGGACCAAGGAGTCATCTGTAATTATTGTTACATTTGTTTAAGAATATTATAATAGTCCAAACAAAAGAACATAAGGAAGTTACTGTATACTAACGTTTTTTGACCTAGTTAAATGATGTTAAGACGAAAATCTCAATGATCGCAATTCACATTGTCATATTCGCAAATATAGCAATAAAACTATAATTGTTTGTAAAAAAAAATTAAAAAAAAGGCACTCTTATTTATACATTTAAAAAGAAATTATTACTTTCATATATCAGATAGATTAATAAGGTTGCAAGGTTATTTTAGTGTTTTGCATTAGTGGGTTTTGGCTGGTTTTTTTTTTAATTCAAAATATTGTTGCTATTTGCAATTAGTTGTACTTGTTTTTGGTAATCACTCTTAATTTTTATGCAAAATTGATATATTATTTAGATTCTTAAAAAACAAGAAAAAAAGAATCAAAATGCATTATAGAAAGGAGAGGGGACCCATGGATAGGACATTGTCGAGGATCGGGTGGACAAGGGTAACATTCCTCAATGTGAGCGTTACCTCCAATTCTTTTCCATAATTAATTATTTGATTAATTTCTTTTATTTATTAATCATCCTTCACATGTGTCATGTGATATGGCGTAAGCTATTTTACAACTTCAACCTTATTCATTATAGAAGTCTCAATTTTATTTTTCCTTTTTGAAAAATATTTGGTTTCTTTTTTTCTTAATTAGCTTCATGTGATCAATGGGTCTTTGACAAGGACAATCTAAAGTATTAATTAATTTTGAGGGTGTTAATTAATTAATATGAGCGTGATTTGACTATACAATTCTGTACACGAAGAGTTCATATTATTTTGAGTTGATTAATTATAGTGAAGGATATTTATTTGTCTAATATTTGATTTAGGAAGGACACATTTTTGGGTTTTAATTCTCCATTATTCTCAATTGTGCTTTTGTAAGGTTTGATAATCAAAATAAAAATCAATTTACGTTAATAGCAATTTTCGGACTAGTGTGTCATTGCCAAAGTGGTATCATGTAAGTAGTTATACCAAGCCATACTTCAAAAGTTTCATTAAATATAATTCATGTACCTATAGTTGGACGGGAGACGAGAAGTAGTATAATGATCAAGTGAGACTTGAAAAACTACCTAATTAAGTTAGACGCAGCTCGACTAAGGTAAGACTAAAAATTTACTTAGCCTAGCTAAGTAGGTCGTAAATTGAACGAAGAGAGACAAAAAAAAATTCATTTAACCTAAATGAGTCGTAATTAATCTACCTAAAATGAGATGTCAAGACGAGTCGTATCTTGTGATTGGACTTAAAATGAGACTAGATGCTTAGGATCTAGCTCAAGCTAAGACAAATACCTACCCATATTTTGCCGAAGCTAGTTGTGTCTTATCTCTCAAAAACCTCAATAACAAGCCCTACCCCCAATCAAGTCATTTGTTGGATGTGACAACAGTGAATAACACAATACCTAGTATCATCGACTATGACAACATGAGAACACAATAGTATGTTACATCATGCTTTAGGTCAACTTATTACATATACATGCTCAAGTTTCAAACAAAAGAATTTATATTTCAAAGAATAATACTTGCTCCACATCCATCGCTGTAAACTCCTACTTACTAACTCATCTTATATGGCATATTTTTATTGGTCCATTTCTATATACCATATAAATAAATAAATAATTGTTTCGCACTGAAAACTTTAAACTTCAAAAAAGTAAATCCTTTTTTTTAGCCATTTTTTTGGTAGTGTTTTCCAGTAAAACCCACAAGGGCACAAGTGAAGTGATGGCTTTATTGAACATGGAAAATTGGAAATGGGGTCCCCTCGCCACTCTTTTATCAAGCAAAAGTAGAAAGAAGATTTTTCATCCAATATAATTTTATCATGAAAACAGTCCGTACATTCATTCAGTCCCTACCATAATCATTATCCTCTCTCAATTCCAAAGGTTTTTTTACTGATGGAAAGGTTAAAAAAAGTACAGAATCTATTTAATTCTTTTTATAGCTTTTTCCTCTTCTGTCTTCTATCCCCTTTTTTTACGGCAAAATTCTACATCATGTGACTGAAATCACCGCCGTTGCGACGGTGGATCAAGAACTCATTACAGCCGTTCGATCTCCCGAATATTGAACTTTCACTCAGAAACTGCTCCTCCTTCTGCCGTCGGAGCTCCATCACCTTCCGGTGGGAATTCGAGTGCTTCGTCGACACGAATGTCGGGCTCGCCGCGGGTCGGTATTCGGGTACGAGCCGACCCGACTTGTACCGGACCCCACAAGCGTTGCACAGCGTTTTCGGGCCCATGGGCCCAGTCCGCCACTGCGGCGTCTTCTCCGCCGCGCAATGCAGGCACTTCCGGCACGACGTTTCGGCGTTCGAACTCTCTCCCTTCGTTTTCGCCGGAGCTGCCATATGGAGGAGGCGCGTCGACCAGTCGCATGGAGAAGCGCGTGAGCGCTTGCTGCGGGCCTTGCCGGGGAGAGCCAGCGCTTCGTCCTGGAAAAACGATGTCGTTTTCGCACTTCCGTGAACGGACGACGACGTCGTAGGCGGGAAGCGAACCGCGTGAAGATTCTTATCAATCTCCTCCGTCGAAAATGAATCTTCCACGAAATTCGAGAGCCATTCGAGCTCGGCCAAATCGTCGCACTGAAAAAAGAAATTTACAATCCAACATTATTTCTTAGAATTACTCCAATTTTTTCTTCAATTGAAAAGTTTTTCAGTACCGGAATGCAGAGCTCGCTCGAGAATTGAGCTTCACACAAGCTCCCGGAGCCAAAATTCCCCGACAGCCGATTGTCGCCGCCGGAGACCGAGGAATTGCAGCTCTCAACCGCAGTAACCGTCGATGAATCACTTGAATTTCCGGCGACATTATCGAAGAAACCGCTGGTCATTGCCACATCTTCATTCGAGAAGTCCAAGAGATATTCGTCGACAGCGAAGTGGTCGGCGGCGGATTTCTGCATCTCCGGCGAAAATTGACCGGCTCCGGTACCGTAGTAGCCGCCGTCAAGATACTCCGGCACCTCCATTGACGTAGAGTACACGTAATTGAGAGTAATTTGAGTTACCGGAGAGCGTGGATGAGGGAGAAGGGTAGGAGTGGAATGGGGTTTTTGAGAAGGCAGGGGAGGGGCGTAAGTGCAAATACGAAAAGTTTGGGGCATCTTTTATGCATGCAGATAAATATGAATTTAATAAAGGGCAAGTGACGGGCAAGTTCTGTAAAGTTGTTTTTAATTTAATTATTATTTTTCCTTTTTTTTTTCCTTTTTGGGCAACTAGGGCTGTTTTAATTCAACACAACTGTGATGTCTTCTGTCTCTGTTTTTTTTTTCTTTTTTTTTTTCATATAATAATTTATTTCTATTTATTTACTTTGAGTAATTTAATAGAACTAGTCTTTTTTTAGGACTAACACATCCATGGGGAGGGCCCCAAATAATGTGTCTATTTTAAGGTATCTATTTTCTTGTCTTATATTTTAGGTTCATTTCATAAAGATTTTTTTTAATTTTGAAATTTATGCTTGTATTAAAACCATGAACTAAATAGTTTTTTCTGCCACATTTGAAAAATTAAGCCATGTAAGAAAACTGTTAGTCCTTTGTAGATCGTAATGGTAAAGAAAAATGTTCTGAAAAAAGTGAGGAATATGATTGGGGAGAAAAAAAAAATCTATAGCATAAATGGGTTTAAATATCATTTTGGTCAATATATTTTTTACTTTGTTCATTTTATTATTTATATTGTTTAATTTTTTTTCACTTTGATCATTGTACTTTCAAAACGTATTTTTTCGGTACTTATTCGATACTTATACTTTTAAAAAGTTATCAATTTGATTGTAAGATTTATATCTCGTAAGATTTTTAAATATAATACATACTAAATTTAAAAATACGTTATTTATTTTATACTATTTATGTAATTTCTATATAAATATATATATATATATATTCTAGAAATTAAAATAAGAAAAATTAGTGAGAAAAAACTTTAAAATTTTAATTTTTACACAGACTTTTTTATTTGAAAATAAATATTTCCACCTTGCCTTTGTTGAAATCAAATACAAACATGAGACTCCAATAATAATTTAATAAAAATAATACTTAAGAAGAGGTATTTATCCTCAAAAAAAAAAAAAGAAAAAGAAAAGGTATTGAAATTGAAATATGAAAACCCTAAAGAAATGGATGTTGCAGATTATGTCGAAGCGACTAATTAGCTGAAATAATGTCCAAATTTACAGGTACTTAAAAAAAGGTCCAAATTTACAGACGATTCCTCTGCAACTAATAATCTTTTTTCTTGGGATAAGTGATTATTAATATTCTTTTAAATTTTCTGATTCTAATATAAATTAATATATATGATTATATTATTGTTTGGGTGTTGGCCAATCATGACTATCTTTAACCTGTAATTATATTCCCGAACCCACGTTTCAGCACGATGGTGACAGCTCAACTTTGTCAATTTTAACGGCTTGGATTAAAGATTAAGGATAATGTTAAATTAGTACTTAATTCATTGGAGTAAATAAAAAAAACGGGAATAATTACCACCTCGGTATAATTCAACTGTTATATATTCTCGATCAAAAGATATAAGATTTGTATCTACATTTTGTTGAACGGAAAAAAACAGTTAACAAATATTCCATTTTCAATTTTTTTTAAGTTCTAATCTTTTTTTTTTAATTCTTAACAAGTTTAATTCTACCCCTTAATAATGTATCTATTTAATTCCTAAATTTAAAAGGTTTCCATCCTAACTCTACACGTGATTATATAAAATTTATGTTTTTAATGTCGCTAATTTAAATAATGACATAAAATATTTGTTGAACAAATATATTGATTGATTTAGCATGACGTGACGACGGCACATATAGTAGAAGAAAATATGATAGCTTGACAAACTAAAGTGGCTCGTAACCTATCTTGTTTTTTTAAAAGCAACATATTAAATCTTTTTAATAATAACTCTTCAAAAAAAATCTTTTTAATAATCTAACTCTTACTCTTTTTTTTTTTCAATTGTCTACTTCGAGTGATAGGTTCAGTTTTAAGATATCTATCAACAAAATGATAAATATGTAGAGTGAGACTTAAAATATTGGCTATTTAACTTTCCTTTGGAGTACTCCTACCAATACACGACTATAAATAAAAATTTATGCACTATTTATGCGAACAAATAAATATAAATTAAATAGGAAAATTTTAGAGAGAAAAAATATGTTAAAGAGATGATAATGGTTCTACTTAACATGTTAAAAAAAAAAGAATTTCAAAGTATACAAATGAGACAGACAACTTTAAGTGTTTTTTTTTTTAAGTATACAAACTAGACAGATAACTTTTAAAATTTATAAATCTATTATGAGGTTTTAAATAAAAATATATATATGGAAAAGCTTATGAGGATGAATAAAATATTGTGTTTAATTTGATTAGATTAAGAGGAAATCTATTTAGGTTAGACTTTAGAAAATTGTAGGCTTTTCTGAAGGGAGTAGTAGGGTTTGAGAAGCACGTGACGGAGGTGGGAATGTGTCAGGGATCATGTGAGATTCCTCAGGTTCGTTTTCTTTTCTCTTTTTATTTATTTTTAATTAATTTTTAATTTTTGGATTTGATAAGGTGATTGTCAACTTTGAAGGGCCGAGTTGAGGTGGGAATCAATCGTAGGGGCCAATTTCGAATTACCTTTCTTTGATGCCTCTCACACGTGCAATGTCTAGGCCATGTCAAGGCACGTGCTAAATACCACTCCAAACTCTAAGCACTTCTTTTTTCTTTTTTTCCAAAATATTTTAGTTATAAGGTTTAATTACAAAATATATATTATATCTGTCCATAAATTTTGCTATTTGTTAAAAAAAATGTCCGTTTAAAAAATTTCAATCCTACACCTAACTTTTCATAAATGTTTAAAAAATACACTTTGAGTAAAATTAATATTTTGAAAAAAAAGTTGATGCGGTAGAAATTTTGAAACAAGGTAACAATTAACTCAAAAGTTAGCTTGCATATAAAGATTTACAATTTTTAAAAGGAAAAAAGCCCAATTGAAAGGATATATAGATATATTTTGTGCAAAATATTTGAGTTTTTTCCTAGTTCTGTTCCAATACTCCTGTTCCAATACTCCTTTTAAAAATGTTTGATTCTTCCACATTTCCTCACTTTTCACCCCATTTTGCTTTAGTTCCCGTTCAAGAAAATAAACGATTCTGTTTATACAAGGATATGCACAACAGTGTATTTTAGATTGCAGCTCGAACTCGGCCTCCGGACCGACCTGAATACTTGGGCGGACCTGCAGAAAAAGGTGAGCACTCCGACGATCAAGTCAGTATAGGTCGGATTCCCAGTTTAGTTCGAGGTCAGAAATCATCGTACCTGATCGTGGAGTGAAGTCCTCTACTTATGGGTGGTAGTCCCGCTAATCTCGCAACGGTTACGCTCGGTAATCTCGGGATCGTCGGTTACGCCCGGTAATCTCGGGACCGACGATTATGCCCGATAATCACGCCGCTGTCAGTAATTCGCATCGGCCCCCACCGAACTTCCCGGTAGGTCGGACCTCGGCCAGGTTCACCTCGGCCCTCATACTTAGCATCTGTCAATGCTAGTAGTGGTGGTTTCGGCCGTCCGAGCCGGACATGACTCATGAGTCATCGTGGAGCACCAATAGGGGTCCCCCACGTGTCCAGGGTATTTTCATCCCCAAACAGATTCTTCCACATTTCCTTACTTTTGAAAGGATATATAGATATATTTTGTGCAAAATGTTCAAGAGTGTTGTTTTTAATATAGCCTAATTATAAATTCTCTACGTGGGATGTAAAAATGCATCAATAAGGAGCATTTTCTCTTAGAGGAAAGCACCCGCATGAGCAATGGTGGACGAAGCAAAAGCGACTACATCAACTTGAGTAATGCAAATATTCTACCCGAAAACGAGTTCGTCCGCAGAGGGTGAGTTAGGGCCTCAGGTCAAACCGAAAAGTGTGGTCGATGGACAACATGTGTATATTCTTGTACTACCTCTTATTGGTCTCAAGGGACAAAATAGACAATGTAGTCGAAAACATGGTATTAAATATCCCATCAAAATTTCGATGTACCTCTGGGTTTGACATGATAGGAGGAGTAAATCGACACTTCTATCATATTACAAAAAGTTGACAAAATAAAAAAATATTAACAAAATGCCACTAACATATACATAATATTAATATTAATTATTTTAAATTTATTTAGAAATAGAAAAATATTTGTATGTTAATTTAAGTATTTTTTACAATTTTTTAATTCCTCTGACATTCACAAAAATATTCATCAACATCAACATTAACATTTTATCGATATATTGATAGATATTTCCAAGAAATTGTGCTTATCAATTCAATGACGCAATGCAACCCTAGTAAAACAAAATACAAAAAATAATAATAATAATAATAAATTATCATATGCGGTTTTTTTTTTCGAGAAAACTATCATATGTGGTATTGTTCTCTCTTGTAATTTATTTATTATGTAATTGATAGCTTTATAACAATCATGTAACTATCATATTTTTTTCGAACAAAAAAAATGTAACTATCATCAAAAGAAGTCCATCTCAAATTTAACTCGACACATCACATGGAAACCTCCACATAATTAGTTGACAAGCTGAGGCCTCATTTGTTACCAAAATTAACCCCAAAAAAGTACCTCCACCGACTGCAACAGCCCTTGCATTACCATCCATAAAATCAATAAAAAGTTATCAATGCAATAGTGTTACACAGTCACATGACATGACATATATAGAATAAGCCATAGTAGGTAAAGTTTAAATTTTAATATTTATCATGATGATATGAATTTTGGGTTAAAAAAAAAAATGACCCATCTCCATTTTTTGATAAACTGATATCTTACCAAGTTAATTACCGCCAGTTATACCAAAATCTGTGATACAAAGAAGTAAAGCAGAGGACACTGTCCTAAGGCTCAACTGTTGAAACTTGCTCCCAATCTCCATCCACTGCTTCCTTCCATAAAGTAACATTGTTATTTCCATCAGCCACGGCCAGGATGTTGCCAGTCAACGACCATGATACCCTCCAAACAGGGGTTTTGAAGTCCTTTAGTACCTTCCCTTCCCATTGATCTCCTTCTCTGACTATGGTCCATATAACGACTTTCCCATCCTGAGAGGCGCTTGCGATCGTTGATTTTGGCAGACCGAGGTTCGGAGCCCATGAAACATCTCTAACCCAGTCAGTGTGCATTTGAAGAGCTGGAAAGCAATCCATCTTCCAAACCCCATTATAGAGCTTCCACACCTTCACCGTATTGTCGCAACCGCCTGAGCAGAGCTTCTGAACGGGATCAAGTAAAGCGGACCCGACAAGGGCACCTGGTGAAGTAGAGGGAGCCCATGAAACAGATGTGACTCCAACTGGGTGAGCTTGATCGATCCTAGAGGTGTCCCAACCACCATCTGCTCTTCCAGTGAATACAGAGATATTCCCATCAGATGAACCACATGCCAAACAAAGACCCACTTCATGAGGGGCCCATGCAATTGAGTTAACAGATGATTTATGATCATCGAAAATATGGGCTTGTGACCACTCATTCTGATTTCCTTCCTTCCATATTATGACACGACCATCATAAGAACATGAAGCAAGTAAAGAGCCAAATTTTGGGTGTGCCCAAGCAACCTGCCAAACAGGTCCTTGGTGACCAGCCAGCGTTGCAAGATGCTGAGTGGCTGAGTTGCTTACACCAGTTATCTTTATGGTCTGGTCAGATGAAGCTGATGCAATGCGCTTACCGTAATAATCCATTGTAACATCATGGATGGTGTCTTGGTGACCAGTTTCAATCTCTTGAGCAGGCATTTTCTCTGGCTACTAATTCAATAGTGAATAGTAGGAACTGAAGTTGATACTTGGTTTTCCTCGAAGTTGATCCCTGTGGAAAAATCCACATCTTAAAACGTTCACATTTTTCATAAATATTATAGGGGGAACATCAAAAATTAGATGCCTCAAAGCATACATAAATTTAGTCTTATTAAGCTTCGGATATTCTATGTCAGTAAGAATGGTCCTACCGTATGACCTAAAATGGTTGTAAAACAAAGCTTCAAAGAAGAATGGATCACCTAAAAACACTAATATGCTGACTGTAACATTCCTTCCAAAAATGTTGACAGTCCAAAAAGAGGTCAAAGAAATAACATAATAGAAATAGAAATAGAAATAGAGCAAGCACAATTCCAGATAACTCTTCTCTTTTTGGATAAGAGAGAACATATATGAATAGAAAGGTTTAAAAAATCAAGAAGGGAAACAGAGCAAGCATTATTGCACAAAACTCCTTTTTTTGGATAAGAAATGACAAAGTACTCCCACGAACAAGAGTCACATAAGATAGCTAAAAAACTCTCCAAGTGACATAACTATGAGAAAAAAGGGAATATTTCCAGTAAACATTAAACAAAGAACTCCTAGAAGCCTAGGCAAAAATACATATTCAAAGTATCTTTGCCATCTCTATTTTCCATAAATAAATTTTCCAACGCCTCTCCAGCCAGTCATCCTGGTTACCTTTAGCAACAATATATAAGCTTTACCAACTAAACAAAGACTGATCAAATGCTCTGCAAAAGAAAATCTAGAATGTTTCGAGTGTTAGACCACCTAATGTAAAAACTTCAAAACATCGACCACCATGTTCTGTTGAAAAATGACCACTAAAGAAAAGGTGTTCGAGTCTTGTGCTACTTTCCCATACATACTCAAACACCAATGAGGGGTTCTGAATTTTGTGCCGCATGTTCAGCTTTTCAGAACCATTACCAAGGTGCCAAAGGTTTTGTTTTATTTAGAAGTCCAGGTATAAATGTAGAACCTTAGTTTCTTAGGAAGGCAAAATTTCTGCTAAGAACTATAGAATTTTCTAAGGAGAACTAAAGTTTCCAGTTTCCACAAGACCCATCAAATTTCCTAGGTAATAGAAGGTCCGAGAGGTTGAAGACATTTGCAAGAGATTTCACTAGTTTTATCCAGGTTGTAAACTCATTTACCTAAAGAATGGACACGAATTCCTTTCATTTTCTCAAGGAGTACAGTACATTCGCTGATTTTTTTATAATTTAGAGGTCTTCTAATCTTTAAGCCTCAATAACCATTTCCTATATTCCAATCGTCCCGAACACCAGCTCAATTCACAGTCGTCTAACAATTATAACTAAAGAAGACTCCGGAATTGTTGTCATCACGTTCCCTTTACAAGTCAAATATAAATAGTAGTTAAAATAGGGTCGAATCTTTGGGGCTGAACTAATTGCGAACAAAACAAACATAAAATGTAACTACTCCGATAATAAACGAGGGTTTCGCACTTTAATTCATTGATAAAACTAAAATTAAAAGATGTTAAATCACCACTAAACCTATCAGCTAAGATTACAGTACATTTAATTAACAGACTCCTCACGGGCAGGAACACACCTAACCGAACCAAAGGAAAAATTCAGGAACGTAACACATGGCTCCTCAAAACTAGATCAGATGCATTATAACTCTAAGCCCTAATTTCAAGTCTTCTGATCATACAAACGAATTGGAACAGATCAGCCAGTTAGACCAGCTAAAATCAGTAAGAAATTCAAGGAAAAAAACACTCGATCACAGACAAACCGTAATTTTCAGAAAAGTCACACATCGAGCAGACGTGAATTTTACAAATGAAATTGAAACCAAGAAAATGTTGATCAATAATGTGAATGCCTGCAAATAGAGATGGAAATGAAGAAACCTCCGATAGTACGCGGATTCTAGAGCCAATTGGGTCGCTATCTACTTCTGCGACGGGAAGGATGGAAGAAGAAGGTACGGAATTTCAGTTCCAGCACCTGCTAGTCTTCAATGGCGCTTCTGTTTTCCAGCACCTGTTACTGTTACGACGTTGCATAAAATTGCATAGCTTAGCGTTGAAGATTTGAGTATGGGCTTTGATTCGCTCAGATCACAAAGCCCATATTATCTCCATTGAGGCCCGTATCGATGTTCTTGTTTTCATCTATTCCCCATTGACAAAATGAAATAATAGGGTGTTTGGAAAATTCCTAGTTAATCTAATTTAAATTCCCTGAGTTGGGTAATAAGTTGTTTCCATTGAGTTTAGATGTTTGGGGTAAAGCAAGTATAAACATGTGGCTCTCCCACCCAAATATGTGTGTTTGAGCTTCAACTCGGACAACATCAAAAGGAATGCACGTTTGAAGTTAGAGTTTAGTTTGGCTCTGGCTCTAACCTGGGAAAAATTATGATTGATAAAATCTGACATTTGGTAGAAGTACACTTATATAATTAGAGTATCTTCTAATTTTCGGTAAAAAAAAGTTGCAAAATGACAGGTACGATTGTTGTAATGGCAAAACCACAGTTTCCAATACTCCATTTTATACAAAAGGCGAAGTCTCACCTTCTAAAATGTATACGCAATTTTTTTAGTTCTATATGAGATAAGCTCGACACCAGTTTAGACCTAATCACTTAAACTTGAGGAATATGTGGTCGAACATTACACCAGTGCAAGATTCTATTTGATCGATGGCTTGCCAACATTAAAATCCCCACCTCGAATTGCTTACTGATATTTCACCTTGACTAGAAGTGCGCATCTAACCATAGATGTTTCTACAAGTGGCATGGAAAGAAAAGTTGGTTATTTCAAGTGAGAAATGCCATTAATAAAATATTATAGTTTTTCATTCTTAAACAATGGACACGTGGCGTAATTTTAAGAGATATATCCCTAATAATTTGCACAATACCGTGCACTAACGGATATTCTATCATAAAATTTCCAAATAACCTATTTTTTTCCTCTCTCCAAGACCCCTTTATATACCTTCCCCTAATTCTCTTCCTCCTATCTCAATTTCTCAACCCAAACTCAGATCCTCTCTCTCTCTCTAAAAAAATCTTTTTTTAGAAAAATGGAACAGAATCTACCGGCGATATCGAAGAGAATATGGAATATGGTCCGTATAGCTTATTTCATGTTGAGGAAAGGAATATCCAAAAGCAAGCTAATGGCCGACCTCACAAATCTCATGTCAAAACGCCGCAAAATCGCCGGAAAAGCCATAAAAAATCTCATGTTCCACCACCACCACGACGGCGGCGCCGGTGGCTTCTCCGTCGCCCCTTTCCGCCGGAGCGGCCGCCACCTCTCGTCCGACTACGAGTTCAGCTGCAGCAACAGCCCCGCTTTCCCCAGCTTCCAGTATTACTTCAACAAGCGCCGCCATTTCTTCGCGTGCGCCCACGCGCCCTCCACGCTGGAAGATGACGTGGCCGCCATGAACGCTTTCAAGGCCGTGCTGGAGGTTCTGAACAATGATGTAGCCGCCGTCGACGCGGCGTCCCCGGCTCTACCTGGGTTCGGCCGGAGCCCGATGGTGAGGCAGCTGAGAGTCACCGACTCGCCGTTTCCGGTGGCCGGAGCCGGCGACGAGGATTCCCACGTGGACAAGGCGGCGGAGGAGTTCATAAATCGGTTTTACAAGGAACTGCGGTCGCAGAATTAAGACGGCGGATTACAGAGGAGCTTTAGAAGATCAATTTACCGGCCTTGAATATTGACGGTGTTAAGTTTTGTGTAAATTTGTGTTAATTAATTGCTGTTGGTGTTATAAAAAACAAGATAATAAAATAGATTAATTGGCTGTATCTGCTTCGTGATTCCACCTTTTTTTCCTTTTCTCCTCCACACACGAAGGAAACTCTAGGATTCTTGTGTTTTCATTTTCAGAATTATTTTTTAAAAATTAGGTTGAAACATCCTTGTAAAATACATAGGAAAATAATTTATAAACAGGCCGTCATCCTGTAGAATTTTAAACTCATTCCATCTAGATCATTTTGATTTATATTAGTCTATTTGAATCTCACGAGTATTTGGAGTCACGTTATTAATATTTTAAAAAGCAAAATAAATATAAGGATCTATAGATGTCTCAAAAGTTTAAAGATTAAAATAAATGTTTTGAAACTTGAATGATCGAAATGAAACAAATCTGTGATATTTTGAGACTTTCGTAAACCATAAATCTATAAATTATAATAAAATGATTTATAAAAATTAATATCTTAATACATATCATGTAAAATAGCCCTTCAAAATTAATTTAGTAATTTTAAATTTTGGTGATATATATTTTTCTTTCCGTGACTAAATCATCCATGAAAATACACTGAAATATTTAAAATCATTTTCGTTGGACTTTTATTTTATTTTATTTTTTAAAAAAATTATTTCGAAAACATTTCTCTAACAAGCCATTACCTCAAATCAAATCACCTAAACTTAAAATGAATGAGTACCCCTCAGTCATAAAATTGTGATAAATTAAATATTTTAATATGTCATTGAAATGAAATATATCAATATTACTGATAATGCAAAAGTTAAAACCAAGCATTTGTCTTCATCTTATCCACCTAGACAATGAAAACTAGTGGTAGCCTTACAAGTTAATTAAATCCTGTTTTATTGGAAATCTTTATTTGATTGTAAGTTTATAAAGTAAAAACAAAAGAATTATTCTACATTGGCACACTACCGGTCATTGCATATCAACATTCTAGTTTTGTTCAGTACAATAAATTAGAGTATGAAGATTTAAACTTCAGACCTCAAAAAAATAAGAGATGCCAATACTAACATCTAATTTTAGTTATTGGTTTATTAAAATGTTTAATGAGAAAAATTAGTATATATAATAAAAAAATTATTGCATATATATATATATAGTGAGTTTAATACCATGGATAGAGGTGAGAATGAATCTTTCGATCTTTTAGTTAAAGATATATATATATATTTTCTTTTTCTTTTTCTTTTTTTTTATTACCCCAGTTGAAGTATATTTAGATTTATATTAAAATGTTTACTGTGACAATTTTATTAATTAAATTTGTGTAAAATATTTATTAGGGACAAAATCAATCTCTTACCTATTTATAATTTTGTAATATTGGTTTCACTTTGTTAAAGTGAATCCATAAAGCCTGGCCACCACCTTTAAAAATATGACTTCTTTTTTCTTTATTTTCTTACATTTTTATTAATATTTCTTATTTTACATTTTCTTTTTTTAATTATTATTTGAAGTTGTATTGATGTGCTCTCTCTTCCGTCTGGGAGGGTAGCCCGACCCGAACAAAACAAGCTCGGCCTAATTAAAATGGTATATTTTGTGATTTTTTTAAATATGTAATATATTATGCATTATAATTTATCTTTTACTTTATATTTTGTGATTTTCAATAATTCAAAAGTGAACTTACTATTTATACAGTTTTATATAGGTTATTGGATATATGTTGACTTGTCATTTCAATATTAAAAAGAAATCAATTAATAGAAGTTACAAAATATCACATAATCAATTTAAACGGTCTAAAGTTAAAGTAATACGCTAAGTTTAGAGTAATATAGTCCCTCAATATATTTTTTTAGTACAATAACATGTGAGGAGTTAGAGATATATGTCAATCACCGCTGAATTATGTTTGCTAATATACCCTATTTAATATTAAATAAAAAAAAAGATTTACATACAAAAAATCAACGAAGATACGAGCTTGTAATGAATTTTTGTGTTTCATTATAATAATTTAATATAATCAAAGCATAGATTATATTCCTATAATTAATTGCTATGGTTGAAGCTAAAGACAAATGTGTCAACTTTAAAGGCTAAATTATTAAGTGGGCTTAATGCCTTGTAGTGAAAGAGGGTCTCGCTCCTCTCTCTCTCTTTTTCCTAAAGAAATAAAACTTTACTAGTGCGTAAGTGTCACAGGACTATAGAAGTTGAAAAATCACCCTCAACAACACGCAGATGGGATTCCGATCAATATTGGAACTACACATCCCTCAACAACACGCAGATGGGATTCCGATCAATATTGGAACTACACATCTGAAGGTCGTATTTTGCAAGGAGATCTGCCTAGACGATTTCATAAGTTTTATGAGAATAATAATTAGACTTTGTGTTTAACATTCATTTTTATGTTTACGGTCAAAAATAAATTAAATTCGATAGTTTTATAGTCTTTCAAAAGATAAAAAAATATCTCCTTTTTACATTTCTCTCGTCTAATTATCAAAATTTTAGCGGTAACAAAAAAAAAAGAGTACTAATCAATTAATACATAAGTTTTTTTTTTTTTTAATGAATATGCATCTCCATGGAGTTTAAAGTTACCATTATAAACAAAAGGAAGGTGGGAATTAAAAAGCAAAGACCTTCCATAAAGGCCAAAAAGTTTAGGTAAAGTGTTAGGTGGGTGCAAGAAATTAGTGCAAATTTGTGGGACAAATGTCGCTCTAAGACCTTTTTTTTTTTTTACAAGAGCTACTTTTACGTTAGATTACACAAATTAAAATTGTATAACCTAAAGTTGAGTGTGTGTTTAATTATATATATATATGGTGTGTTTATTTATCTCGTACTAAATTAAAAGTCTGTTCAAGTTTGTAGGATACATGGAAAAAAACTTATATAAAAACTTACCTTTTTTTCACTATATTCTATCTTTTACAAACTATATACCTATATATCAGATATAAACATGTGCTTCTATAACTAATTACTATATACAATCTAGATAAATTTATATTATAAACTATTTTTTCTTTCTCTAAATTGATGTATGGTAGTGATATAGTCTTATATTATTGCGACTGCGCCACTCCTATGAGACAAATTATAAATTAAATTGAAAATTCAGAAATCTAAGAGTGCGTTTTGTTGGTAATCAGCAAACCAAAATTCGAAAACAATGGATTCAATGAAAATCTGAGCTGTATTCTTAATGTTTTCAGGTATGTGTTTGGTAGCAGATTTGGTAATTAAATCTCAATTTTAAAATTTGGTCTGTTTAGTAATATATTTGTAAACTAGAGGTAGTTATAAACTAAATATTTGGTTTAATCTAAAGTTATATTATTTAATTTATTAACATTTTTTATAAATTTTGTATAATTATTATTTTACAACTTATATAATTTAAAATACAGTGTATTTACATGTTTTAATTTTAACAAACATAAAATGAGTTTATAATATGAAGTAATATATTTATCAAAGTTTTTATCTTGATGTAATTGTGCATCTTAAAAATTTCAAATTCAGGATCTGAAAACACTGAAAACATTAAAAAGAAAAAAAGTCGTTTTCAAAATTTCAACGAATCTGAGTTTCCAACGAAACGAGCCTAAACCTTTTATATTTAAGTTATATGAACTATGACTTATTAAAATCGTGAATCAACAAACATTCATGTGTGTCGTCTCCCAAATTTTAGTTTAAACAATTCAAGTAATTATCTTTTTCATTTTTCTCTTTCGGGTGAAAGCAACGTTGGTATTTTGTATTTATTTATTTTTTCTGACTCTTGAATGGAAACACAGTTGGCAGTGTAGGTCTGAAATTTTGAATTTCAAAATGGAAAACTCTCGATGTCCATGCCCAAAATGAATTTGAATAATTTTATTTAAAAAAATGTAATTTCAATTTCAAAATTTTTTTTTAAAGATTTTTAAAATGTTATTTTAATCAATCAACTGTCATACATGCTAGTATTTTATTTTGGTTAATAAACTTTTCAAACATTTTATTGTAAAATTATCTATCATAAATAACCTTACCCACAAATTTTGTTAACATTTAAAATTTTAAGAATCAAAATAAGATAAATTTTGCCTTTGAAGAAGAGACTTATCCATTAAGGTATAGAACTTCACCAAGAATATTTCCAGGTTTGGTTCTACTTTTTAATTAATCTTTCTTAATTACAAGTTTGTTGCTTATTTGACTTATTTTCTAAGCTAAAATCACTTGCCTTTTTTAAGGTGGATTACCAAAATGATCTTTCTTTCTACATGGCTAGCTGGCTCACAAGTTGATTTTAGCTGGCTTCAAGTGAATAGGGAAAGAAATAGATAAATAAGGATTCATCTATAAAATAATTTTGTTTGTCAACATTTTGGTTTAAAAGTAAAAACTAAATAGAGAAATTGTTGATAAATAAATTCCATCATTGTTATATATAGATTCTAGGACCTAAGTTATTGAAAATAATAGGATAATACTAAATCAATCTTTTTTTATTCGATCATTTGAAATAGTAATTACAAAAATTAATTTAAGCATAATTCAAATATTCAGGTTTGAGTGTTTCTTTTTTGAATTATAAATTTAAATCCTTGGACCAAAAAAAAAAAATGATAGTCGTTGCTTTGTAAAAAAAAACTTTGACATGTGGATATGTTTGTTTGTCTCATAATGATTGTTGAAAAAGGCCTTCTCATTTTTCATAATGGGAAGAAAATCACCCTACAATTAATGTAAAAGAAAATCTTCCCAAAAGGTTTCTTTCTTTCTTTTGCAAAAGCTCAAGTGAATTACCCAATAGAATTTGAGATTCTATTTTGTTTTTATGTTCCAAATCTTTTGCATCTACATTATTATTCAATAAATAAATAAATATTTTTTTGAGAATTTAACGTAAAGTGTTTAGACTCACAAATTAAGTGAAATATTTATCCGAAGAACCAAATATATCTGAATTTAAAACGTGTTTTAACATCTACAAAATTTTATTGTGTGAAACAGCACCCCATCAATGAATCCATAAAACTCAATTGGTTTACCATAAA